TTTTTTTTTTTTTACCATTTTTGAAAAATCAAAAGGTAAATTTTCATAAAACCCTTAAAGTAAGGGTAAAATCAAAGAAGTGTAATATTTCTTATAGTAGTAATTTTATGTTACAGCAAAATCTAAAAAGTTTCATTTGGTTGTTGAGGGTTTAAATTTCATATGTAATAAATTTGTTTGGATAAATGAAATGAATTTAATTTTTTTTCATTTTAAATTATTTTTTAGGTCGTTGTAGCACCAGCGTCTAAATTGATTTTCTCAATTTATAAGATACTTTTGTACATTAACAGAGTCAATATTTTAAGCATAAGGGGGCCAAATGCATTAATAAATTACGTGAGGGGCCGATTATGCTCTTGTACACAACTTTTTTAACATATTTATATAAAATAATAGACATTAGAGAAATTTTCGGGGCCATGGCCCCCCGGCCGTATTTGAGAGAGTAATTGTCTCTTGAACATTTCTACCTAAGAATTTTTCATAAGAAATATTTACTAATCACCTCAACTAGTAAATAACTCGATTTTTTCAAAAAATACTTTAATTTTTCGATTCCGATTCATATCGAGAAAATCATCAAATTTTCTTTTTTCGAAATTTCTTTTAATTGCATCATGTTTCACATCGCATTTATGTACAAAAGAACACGATGTTGATAGAAATTGAATGAAAAAGTGAACGATTTATTTAAATATTTATTATTATTTAATTTAATTTAATTTCTGAAATATTTTGGATTTTACTAAAAGTTAGTTGATAACTTGCAGCAACGATGACTGCTAATGTGCAAGGTATGGCCTAATACATCACAACCATGTTATCATGTCATCCACATAATTAGAAATAAACAAAAATAAAATTAAATAAATAGATAACACCAACTTTATTTTATTTAATTATTTTATAAGTAAATTACAAAATATAAATTTTTAATTCAGCAAAACATTATAAGATACCACAAATATAATTATAGTAAACAAAAAAAACTGCGAGCATCTCTGAAAATTTAGAATAATTAATTATGGAATTGGAAAAACTAAGATTTGTTTTTTCACATAAAATAATAAATATCAAATAAAATTTGAATTATATATTCTTGAATAAAATTATTGAATTTAGTCATAAATTAAGTAATGACCATACCCCAAGTTGTGAAAAGAGTGATGCAATAAAAGTCAGAAATGCTGTTCTTAGCATATAACTTACGTATGCATGGAAACTTTTCCATTATGGCAAAAATGAATTCACATATATGATGGAGTATTGTGTTTGAATAATTGTGACGTAATAAATGATTTTTTTTTTCTCCCAAAAGAATTCATGGAACTAGTTTCATTAAAGTATATAGTATTATTGAATTAGTAATTAATGGAAAAAAGAAAAGTAAAAGAAAAAGAAAAAGTCCTAAGTCGGTCTACTGAAACACTTAGAGCAAACAACTGATAAGCTTTTACGTATGAGTGGATGTTTTAAGAGCTAATAATTAGTTGTTACGCCTTATTTTTAAAATTATTGTTTAAAGTGCTTGGATAATGAGCTTATAAACTACTTTTACTCACTATAAGATCTTAAATAAAAATGTGGGATAAATGTACATTCTAAAAATAGGGAGTTTCAACTTCTTAATGTTTCCACGTTGGACATGTTTCGCATCGGAATCTCGAAGACACCTGCCGGACATATTATGGACCATTTTATAATTTTTTTTAAAGTTGGAAATATGTTTGAATAGCAAATTTTCAAATATTTTTGTTACTTTTCAAAAATAGTGAGTTAATGATCAATTGAAAATTGATCGTTGATAGTAAAATTTAGTTTGAATTATGTTTGTATGAAAATATAGAGAGAAAAAAAAAAATATAAATTTATATATTTATATAGAATTTTATAAATATATATACCCTACACTTTTTAATAGTTATATGATTCTCCCAAGTTCCCATATTCACATTTTTGTGACATGCCATTTTCCCGTGTCCGTTTTCTCGTTTCTTCGTATCGCCATTTCCGTGTCAGTGCTACATAGGTATCAAATTATGTCAATTGGAAAATCATTAAGAAAAAAAGGTGAGAAGTTCACAAAAAAATAAAGAAAAACGACGTTAACAAAATTTTACACTTAAAAAGGGTTGTATTATATCTTCAAATTAAATAATAAGAGACGTATATAATATATACATATTAATTTAGGTATTTCCAAAGATATTTAAATTTATTTAGAATCTAAGAGGCCGTACATCTGAGGCCCATTATTGAACAATACTAATCACCCTAATTTGAATTAGGCCCAATTTCATTTAGCCCAAACAATTAAATTTAACCTATGTAGCACGGAAACTTTAACTTAACGTTTCCGCGTTTCGGACATGTTCGTGTCGGACGTTCGAGGACAACTTTCAGATACCTTATGGGCTATTTTTTGCAATTTCTAAAAAGTTAGAAACATGTCTGAATAACAAATTTTCAAATATTTTTGTAGCTTCCCTAATTATTCACCCGATTTAATGATAAATTGCAAATTGATATGAGAGTAATATTTATTTTGAATATTTTGATGAAAATATATGAAAATTTATATATAATAAAAATTTATAAATTTTTATATAACGTATTTATAAATATTACTCTATAATTTTAATATTTACACGTTTCGTCCAAGCTTCCGTATCCTATTTTTGGGACCGTTTTCGTGTCCATGCTACATAGAATTTAAGCAATTGTTTTTTTGGATTTGCGGTAGACTATTTTATATTGTCTTCACTCCACTTTGCACCCTTGAAATGTAGTGTTCTGGCTAATTCCACCCTTAAAAAAAAATTAATATCACTTTGTACCCCCTTAATGCAATACATCACTCACAGTCTACCATGAATTGAATTTTAAAATTTAATGAGTAATTTTAATTTTTTTTTATTTTCTTTATTTCCTAGGTGCAAAATAACATCTTAAAAATTTATTTTCTTCGGATTCCAACATAATTTCGATCATACAGAATGCGAAAAAACAAAAATCACAATAAATTACCAAAAAAAAAAACTATATTTTCTTACTAAAAAATATTTTTTTCTCACTAAATTATTTGATTAATGGATCTTTTATTGTGATAAGTAAAAGTATTTTGTAGAAATCTTTGGGAGAAAATATAATTTTTAAATTACTTGATAACAAAATAGCTAAAATTAACTTTTTTATTTTCTTTTTAAATTTTAATTTTATTTTTGCACTTTGTAGTTTCGAAATGATTGATAAACATTAAAAAACTAAATTATCATTTGGCATTCTAAAATATACCACTAAAAATATTAAATTACATTAATTAGCTTTTAAAATTCATTCGGTGTGCATTGGGCACGATTACTGTGTTTCATGGGTGCAAAATACTATTATTTTTTTCTGAGGGTGTTGAGTGACAAAATGCTATATTTTAAGTGCCCAAAGTGGGATTATTAAGCCATTGTATATTTACAATTCAATATGTTTTATGAGCCAAATTTGCTAAATTTATTTAAAAAATCTTACAAAGTTGTGATTAACATATATTTTTGAGTTGCTAAATTATGTACTAACTTATATATTGAGTTTGGAATACAGCCATATATTAACTGTCACACCACCATCATTCTACTATAAGTAACAAAAATAAAATAATATTAAACAGAAACAAATCTAAAAAATAATAAACACTAAAATTAAATATTTAAATAAATAAAAATTATTTAAAAATAACCCTACTATGCAACATCGAGTTTCTCTTGTAGAGCAAGCAACAAATATACAAGAGCGAGGGGAAAACAGTAAATTCAACGGCAAATATGGCAAACGGACAGTCGTCCAATAAAACGCCAACACGTGTCACAGCGGATCCTGCCAATTTATTGGTTTTATAACGCAGATGATAGCAACGTTTGCCGCATGCATTGTGGGATCCAATCTGCTGCGGCGTAGGTACAGACAATTCCATACGCCCGCCACACAGTACGCTGTCCTGGTGTTGTACCTTGCTTAATTCATTTAATGTGCTTTTAACTACATAAAGTACTAGTTAATTAATTAATTAATTAATTAACCTTTTGGTATTATAAGTTTAAACTTCATTTAATGTTTTTAATGATTGAAATTCAATTATCATGTAATTAAATTTGCACAATCTAACAACTTACATACTCCTTTTTTTTTTATAAATAAATTTGCAAAATCTAAAAGCTTACATAATTTGAACCTCGAATTTATTTTAATATAATAGATTTTACGTCCCAAATAATTAAATTTAAATCGTAAAATGCATATTTAGTTATAAATATTGGTCTCATCGTATTAGATTTGGTTATCTATATATTTGACTCGTTAATTTATCATATTTCACTATTTGCCGTATCGCGAAACCGTGTTGCCATTATTGCTGATTCCGTACTCGAAATAATTTCGTATCCGATTATTACTTTTCGCAATAAGATCATTCCTTGTTGGCATATTTTTTTAAAAGTCTCTCATAATTAAATTTAAATTGTAAAATGCATTTATAATCATAAATTTGGGTCGGATCGTATTATTATATTTGGTTATCAATATATTGGATTCGTTAATTTATCATATTTAACCATTTGTAGTATCGTTGACCGTTGCCATTATTTACACTCGAAATAATTCCGTATCCGCTATTACTTTTCGCAATAACATCATTCCTTGCTGGCATATTTTTATGAATTGAATTTAAATCGGAAAATGCAAAATGCATTTATAATCATAAATATGGGTCGTATCGTATTAGATTTGGTTATCAATAGACTGAACTCGTTAATATATCATATTCAACTATTTTCCGTATCGCGAACCGTCGCCACTATTCATCCTCGAAATAATTCCGTATCCGATTATTACTTTTTTTCGCAATAGATTGTCATCATATTTTTTTTCCGATTGCCTTTTGACGAAACAATACCGAAAATTTCAAATAAAATTCCTATAATATTAACATCAAATTTAGAAAATAAATTCAATTCACATTTTATTAAAATAATCAGTATAATAATCAATCAAATCAATCTTATAAAAAAGCCTTCCAGAATTCCAATTTATTTCAAAATTTCTTTTCTTTTTTTGGCAAACATTGGTAACAAGAGCCAAAACCTAATCCCGGTCACCTGTGAATTGACGATTATACCCTCAAGGTACAACCCGTTGTAGAGAGAGAAAAGGAGACAAGGGCAAATAAGTAATTTCAAGACAGAAGAGACAAAAGGGCTGCAATATTATAGGAGTCCTATATACAAGGCAGAAGAATCAAATCCCACAAAAACACACACACTCCGCGGAAAAACACACACACACACACGCACTCGAAGGTTTTTTTTTCTTCCTCTCATCGTCTTCTTCAGAAGTTCGCCGGTACAGATTCAACCTCAGCTAGTTTTCTACTTCTGTTTTTTTTTTGTTTCCGTAACGCCGTTAAGTTTCCGTTTCGTCACGCCGTCGTTTTTTTCCAAGCAAAATAGTTGTTTCTGGTTTTTTTTTTTTTTTGTGGTAGTTGATCGACGCAGAAAGCATGAGAGAGATTTATCTCTATTTTTCTGTGTCTGTTCTTCATCACGGCGGAGAAAAAATATCTCCGGTCGTCGTTCGCCGCCGCGGCGCCGCCTGTTGGTCTTCTCTTTCTTCTTTGGTTTAATTAAATCTCTCTGGTTTTTTTCTGTGGTGTATTTAATGTTTTTTTTGCAGTTTTATGCGGCTGAGCTCAGCCGCTTCTCTGTATCATGCACATGTTTACGTCACCTGTTGTATCGTCTCAAATCATCAGATCTTTGACCAGAATATCTCTTCTACTTTTTTCCAGTTTTGAATTTTTTTTCTCAGTGTTCTGATTCTAGACTTGTTTAGAACAAGTAATTATAGGGGAATCCAATGGTTTATTATTTAGTGATTAATTAATTTATTGATGTTTTTGTGTTTCGATTTATTTTTTATATCACCTTCTCTCTCATGCAGAAATTTTTGGGGTAGGTTTGTTCTTAAATATAAGAACAGCAGATTAGATCTAACAACGTTGTTCTTAGTTATTACTAACTAGATTCTTAGTATCTGGGATTTTATAATGCAGACTGTTGAATTTTATCTTCTGCTATATGATTCAGCTCTTGGATTTTTGAGTTTTATGGAAGCATTCATTCGTTAATTTGGTTGATGATAAGAAATACTCTGTAGACTGTATACAGAAACTGGTTTATACCTTCTATGAACATATAAATATATATAATCTCCCTTTTACTGATTTATTACACAAATTTCGGGCTGATATATATACATATATATAACTCTTGTTTATGTCTCAGATTGCAAGTGAAACAAGATGGACCATGATAAATCCGAAATGCTGCCTCCACCACCGCCTGCCATACCGCCGAATGTTGTACCGCAGAAGGTGGTTCCGGTTATTAAGCGCCTTCCGATGGTGAGGTCGGGATTCGGTTCGAAAGGGCAGCCCATCCCCCTTTTGACGAATCACTTCAAAGTTGCTGTTTCTAAGACCGATGGGCACTTTTATCACTACAGTGTATGTGTATTTCTCTTTCTTTTTTTCGTTGTTATATATCAGGGATTCTTGAAATAAATTCGATGTGGGACTGTGCTTAAAACTTGTTGATATTTTTGTTGGTGTGTAGGTTGCTATCAAGTACGATGACGACACCCCTGTTGAGGCGAAAGGGTCTGGAAGAAAAATACTCGAGAAGGTGTACGACACGTATGCTGCTGAGCTGGATCGTAAGAGATTCGCGTACGATGGAGAAAAGACCCTCTTCACAGTCGGCCCACTGCCTCGAAACAAGTTTGAGTTCACGGTGATCTTGGAAGATGGCCAATCGAATAGGTATGATTATATGATGATTATGTAGTTTCTCGAAACAGAATCCTCTGTCTGTGTTTTTTTAAGATTGCAGTTTACTTATAATCTTGTCTGAACGAATACAGGAGCGCTGGGAATGGGAGCCCTGGAGCAGATGAGAGTGGCCCGAAAAGATCGAAGAGGCAGCCCCGTTCGAAGACGTACAAAGTGGCCATAAATTTCGCTGCGAAAATTCCGATGCAAGCCATTGCAGATGCCCTAAGAGGACACGATTCTGAGCATTTTCAGGACGCTGTGAGAGTGCTCGATATCATGTTGAGGCAGCACGCTTCTCAACAGTAAGCATCTTTGATGTTCTTCTATTTATTTGTTTCTTCGTTTGATGATTCTTGAATTTGATTAACACCTTTTTTTTTTGGGTATATGCAGAGGCTGCCTTCTAGTACGACAGTCCTTTTTCCATAACGAGCCAAGAAATTTCGTGGACTTGGGGGGCGGTGTTGTTGGTTGTCGGGGTTTTCATTCGAGCTTTAGGGCAACACAAGGAGGGCTTTCGTTGAATATGGGTTAGTTTTCGTTTTATGCCGTTATGAGGCCACATTATTTTTTCATGCATTCTTTGTATTGAAGAACGCTATATTGTTGTGTAATTTGCAGATGTTTCGACAACTATGATTGTCAAGCCAGGGCCTGTGCTGGACTTTCTCCTGGCTAATCAACGAGTCGACAATCCTGGTCAGATTGATTGGAGCAAGGTAATAATTCATCGTTCATTCGTTTTTCATCTTTGTTAGTTGCTTATGCAGTTAAATGACAGTGTGATCTTTCTTAACTTGTTGTCTGAAAACAGGCGAAAAGGACGTTGAAGAATCTTAGGATCAGGGCCACTAATTCGAACTTGGAGTACAAGATCAGTGGACTGAGCGACTCGATATGCAGGAAGCAAACGTGAGCTCTATTCCAATTACCCTTTCGTTATTTTTTATTACATAGCTTTCCATAGTCAATAATGTAACAATTCTTGATTTTCTTAATTGTGCAGGTTTCCTCTAAAACAGAGAAAAGAAGGTGCAAACGAAGGAGACGAAGTACAAATCACAGTCTACGACTACTTCGTGAACCACCGAGATATCAAACTGAGATACTCTGGGGATTTTCCATGTATCAATGCAGGCAAACCAAAGCGCCCCACTTATATCCCCATTGAGGTTTGCAGTTTTTTCAACCAAGCATTAAGTTTATCGTCGTTTTTTTCTGGGTGCCACTATATTGACCATGCGTTTTATTTTTATAGCTATGTGAATTAGTTTCTTTGCAACGATATACCAAATCGTTGTCGAACCTGCAACGAGCTTCGCTTGTGGAAAAATCTAGACAGAAGCCAATGGAGAGAATGAGCTCCTTGAAGCAAGTGAGGCTTTAGTCGACTTTTTTTCTTATCGATCCATTTTTCCTTTTTAAATATAAAAAATCCATGTTTAGTGTTTCTAATTACTTACTTCTCTCTCTCTAATGGCAGGCTTTGGCTACTAGCAATTATGGGGCTGACCCTCTTATAGTAGCTTCTGGAGTTTCGATCTCCACTGAGTTCACAAAGATCCAAGGCCGCGTTCTGCCAGCCCCAAAGGTATATATATATATATATATATATATATATATATATATATATATATTCACAACCAACATTTTTACATTGCAAAACACTAAACAATATAAAAATTCAGCAACATTTCTTGCTAATCCATTTTTTAAAATTATATTACAGTTGATGGTCGGTAAAGGGGAAGACCTTTGGCCACGTAATGGAAGGTGGAACTTCAACAGCAAGGTATACTTGATATTTTATTTTCGAAATGTTGAATGAGATTTGTGATTTTTCATAAAGTTTCGAAGTCTGAAATTTGTCGATTTTTTTGCAGAGATTGATTGAACCAGTAAAGCTCGATAGATGGGCAGTTGTGAACTTCTCTGCTAGGTGTAATGTGAAAATGCTGAGCGAAAGCATCGTCAAATGTGGGGGAATGAAAGGAATGGTAAGTTAATTCCTGGAAAATGTTCTATAATTATATATATATATATATATATATATATATATATATATATATATATATATATATATATATATATATATATATTTTTTTTTTTTCTGATCGACTGTTCTTTTGTAGACTATTAGCCCACCCTTCGATTGCTTCGAAGAGAGCCCAAATAACAGGCGTAGCCCTGCTGTGGTAAGAGTGGAGCAAATGATGGAGTTGATAAAGTCGAGGCTACCGGGCCCGCCTCAGCTTCTTCTTTGCATATTGCCGGAGAAGAAAAACTGCGATCTCTATGGTTTGTGATTCGATAAAACTAATATTTTCATCGAGCATTTTATTTTATTTCATTTCTTGCTAATTATTTATCTTGTTTTTAAGGTCCATGGAAGAAGAAGAATCTTTCTGACATGGGGATAGTCACTCAATGCATGGCACCGACGAAACCTGTCAATGATCAGTACACCACCAATCTGCTCCTAAAGATCAATGCCAAGGAAATTTTCGTTGTTTTATTGCGCAAATTAGTTTGATTTATCATTCTTGAAAATTCGTTTATTAACGTTATTTTCTTTCGTTCTTTTTTTCATTAACAGCTTGGCGGCATTAATTCACTTTTGGGTATCGAAAAATCGCCCTCGATTCCCCTGGTTTCCACAGTGCCCACCCTTATTGTCGGGATGGACGTTTCACATGGTTCGCCTGGTCGATCAGATGTTCCATCTATTGCTGCTGTAAGATATATATGTATATATATTTTTTGATAATTATAAGGTTTCTTAAGTACAAATGTCTGATGGTATTTTCTTTGTGATGAAAATATTAGGTGGTAAGTTCAAGGCAGTGGCCTTTGATATCTAAGTACAGGGCTGCAGTTCGAACCCAGTCACCAAAACTAGAAATGATCGATTCGTTGTTCAAGAAAGTGGATGATGTGGATCAGGGCATTTTCAGGTTGCCCGTTTTTTCAGATTATCCAAATTTCGAGCAAATCTTTTAGTTTGTATTATCTTTTAATTATTTTTTTTGATCATGATGTTTTTTTTCGTGTTTTTCTAGGGAGTTATTGCAGGACTTCTTCATAAGTTCCGGCAAAAGAAAACCCGAGCAGATTATCATCTTTAGGTATACTATTTACATTAGTAAAAATCATCAACTCTCTGTAGTACATTACGGCTTATGCCTGGTCGAATTTAAATCAATCTTCGTACTTAAAGTTAATCGAAATTTCGGCATTTTCTAATCGTTAGGGATGGAGTGAGCGAGTCGCAGTTCAATCAAGTATTGAATATAGAGCTGGAACAAATCATCGAGGTCCGTTTTTCGATCTTTCAGAAAAACCTAACATTTTATTACCACTTTCTTCTTAGAGTATGTTCTTTTAGCTTTTTGAAGTTCATTACAAGTGTGTTTTTGTTCTTACACAGGCATGCAAATTTCTCGACGAAACTTGGTCTCCCAAATTCATGGTTGTGGTGGCACAAAAGAACCATCACACGAAATTTTTCCAAGCAAACGGACCCGATAATGTTCCACCAGGTCTTATAATCATATTTACTATTTCTCTGCATTAAGTAAGAACCGTATTCTTTTTTACTGTCCTAATATATATATATAAATATATACTACCCGATTTTCAGGCACTGTAATTGACAATGGAATTTGCCATCCAAGAACAAACGACTTCTACATGTGTGCTCACGCTGGAATGATTGTAAGCCTTTTCGTACATAAACAATCACTTGTCATTTACTTTGGATTTGTTTTACGAGAATTTTTTGTGTGAACTAATCGTAATTAAAATGGTCGACAGGGCACAACTAGGCCAACACACTACCATGTGCTATTTGACGAGCTCGGCTTCTCTGCCGATGCTTTACAAGAACTTGTGCACTCATTATCCTATGTGTAAGTAGAAAACTAAAAAGTTAGCTTCAGTTTATAATAATTTTTACCGAATTTCACATTGTAATAAAATTTTGTTGTCTGAATATTTACAGGTACCAGAGAAGTACTACAGCCATCTCTGTCGGTAATGAAACTACGTCACCCTCTATTTTATATTTATAATTATAATTATAATCTTCTATTTTCTTGAAATTGATTCATATATTGTTGCATGCATAAATTTTTTTTAGCGTTAACATTGTTCGTTTTTTGATTTCTGCAGTTGCTCCGATCTGCTACGCCCACTTGGCCGCTGCACAAATGTCTCAATTCATAAAGTTCGACGAAATATCCGACAAGTCATCGAGCCACAGTGGCACAGCGGGGCCCGGTGGATTATCAGTGGCCCCACTTCCGCTGCTCCACCATAAGGTCTCGAGTTCCATGTTCTTCTGCTGAGGGCATTTTAGTAAAAACTGTCCCTTCTTTTTGTTCCATCTCGAAAACATGACAATTGTTGGTGGTTTTTTTGGTTTGTTCCTCTGCTAATTCTGACTAATATTAATCTTTAGGGAAGAGAGAAAAAAAAAAAACTTGGTTAATTTTGAGGTTTTGGTAATTACCCAACACTTGGATATGACTGGTGTATGTAACCAGTGTTTGTTTATGAATGTCTGAATATCTTTATGACTTCAGTTATATTGCATTAGCTGTGTTTTCAGGTTTTTAAGGATTAAAATCGAATTAATCTTTTTCTTCTATGTTATTGCTCATAAAAATGTTCATCCATATTTGTATTTTATTCGTTTTGAATGTGCTCGGCGAGTTGAATTATTAGCCGTTTGTTACGCTAATTCAAAGGCCTCGTGAGACGACGCTTCTTTTACTCATCCAATATTCTCTCAAACGGTACTCGGACATTATATATAGTGATCAATTCGTTGCCTCCCCGTATATATTTGTGCCTCGAATTTGATCCTCACGGGTCCGAAACTTATAAGAAATAGGTCTCGTTTGGAGGGTACAATAGGCATTTGCACGAGGAAAGTATTTCATCCTCGATAGAGAACTAAAACGATAATGTTGTTCGTAGCCAATAGCTTATTTTGTTGGGGTTGTCTAGGGTTCGAGAGGGGTTGTACTACTCGGACCCAAACGATTTAATCTGGTGCGTAGAAAATATTTAGTAAAAATTTATAGTCGTTGATTTATAGTACGAACTAGTACGATCCAGTACGAACATATGAATTTATAAATTAAAGTACGAACCCAGTAAAAATAGATCGTACAAAGGTCGTACTCCATCGTACTTCATGTAAAATTACTTTATTAACCTTACATTATTAAACCACATAATTAAAAGTAGGGTTAACTGTACTTTGCCCCTAACTTTGGTCATTTTTGCACTTTGCCCCCCAAATTAAAAAAAAAAAAATTCCACGATCATACCTCGACTAACTAATTTAGCTCAATTTCACCAATTAACCAATTTTTTTACCATAATTTCAATTTTGACCCCAATTTTGACTCGCCGCCACCGGAGACCGCCAGAGGCCCACGGTCTCCGGCGTTAACTCTTTTTTTCTTTCAAAACTTTTTTTTTGTTTGAAATTCTTTTCCGGTAGCTCAATCGCAGGGTCTCCGGCTTTGATTTTTTTTTAATTTTGTTTTTTTCTAAAAAAAACTATTTTAACTAATATTAATGTTGGTTGTTAAATTATTGTCTTCAACAGTTATTTAACTGTCGGAGAGAGTAATTTAATGTTAATTAACCTTTTTTTTCTTACAAAAAACATATTAATTAATATTACTATCTTGACTGCTAAATTACTGTCTCCACAGTTATTTAACTGTCGGAGACAGTAATTTAACTGTTAATTGACTTTTTTTTTTTTAAATTTTGTTTTTTCTTAAAAAAAATATTTTAATTAATATTACTGTCTTGGCTCAAAATTACTGTCTCCAACAGTAATTTAACTGTCTGAGACAATAATATTACTGTATTAATTAATTTTATAGTCTTGGCCTGCATTATTGTTGTCTTCGACTGTAATATTATTGTCTTCGACTGTAATATTATTGTCTTCGACCGTAATATTACTGTCTCAAGCAATAATGTCACTGTTTGGGACAGTAATATTAGTAATATTACAGTTCGGGAAATAATATTCATAATATTACTGTCCGAAACAGTAATATTGTTGTCTGAAATAGTAATATTACTGTGTGAGACAGTAATTTAATAGGCAAGATACTAATATTAATTAAAATATTTTTATCTAAGAAATTTTTTTTCAAAAACGAAATTAAAAAAAAAGTCAACGTCGGAGAGCGGCGGTCTACTGCGGTTGACTGGCCGGAAAAAAAAATTTCAGAAAAAAAAATGTTTTCAAAAAAAAAAATTCAATGCCGGACAACGCCGGAATCTGGCCGGAAAAAAAAATTCAGAAAAAAATTATTTTCTAAAAAAAAAAAATTTCAAAAAATTATTAAAATGGGGGTTAATGTTGTATATTTTTTTTAAATTCGGGGTCAATGTGTAATATTAAGGAAGTTAAATTTAGTGAAATCTTCTAGATTATGTGGATATTCTCTAGTTTGTACCCGTTTTTACCTTATTCGAGCTCCACACTTTGAAACAAGATTATCAGAAGATGGGTCTATTGACTTGTAAATATCAGATTGTGGTGTATCATAAGCTGAATTTTCGCACAAAAGATGTACAAATTAGAGGACATTACACGAAATTTAGAAGATTTTGTTATGACACCATAAAAGTGAACGTGTAAGATTCATAGTTAATAAGGATAATCTTAATTACCCAAACATGATGATTTTTTTTCTTCTCGTAATTTGACTTTACTTGAAAAGGTGACGGTAATTTACCCAAGATTTATGGAATAAAATGGAACCTTAAAGATTTGATTATTAATCCACAAAAAGATATGAAATAATATTTCATATTATTGACTTGGTCTTTTGTCCCCTTCCCCTCAACTCTCTTCCTTTTTGTATAGTTCCTTTGTAGCCATTTGCATGTCATTCTTCACAACAAAAGAAAAAAAACAAATGAGAAAAAACAATTAGCAAATTTGGTAAATTACGGCAACCACCTGAGCTAATGTTATATTACAAAAAACTCTCTCACATTTGAGTAATTACAACCTCCTCTCAATTATAAATCTTCTTACATGTTCACCATAACGGTGTCAAATTTAGTGAAATCTTATATACTATATGGAATATTATCAAGCTTGTACCCGTTTGTTCCCATTCGAGCTCCATCTTTTGAAGCAAGATGATCATATGATGTGTTTTTTATCTTGTAAATATCAGATTGTGATGTATCAGAAGCTGAATTTTAACACAAAAAAAACTACAAACTAGAGAACATTCCACGAAATCTGCAAAATTACGTTGAATTTGACACCATAAGGAATAACATGTAAGAAAATTTACAGTTGATGGGCTATTTGTAATTACCAAAATATGATTTTTTCTTTTTTCGTAATTTGGTCTTACCTGAAGGTGGCCCCGTAATTTAATAAAAAACAAATAATTAATTAAACCTCAATCATCACATAATAAGTTAATAACCACCCTCTCTCACAATATTCTCTCCCTCCAAATATTTCAGTTGACTTGTAATTCATCTTCTTCTTCATCTTCTTCAATGGAGCAAGGAACCAGAAAATCAATCACCGACGAATACGAAATTACAGATGTACTTGGCAGAGGCGGTTTCTCCGTCGTCCGACGTGGCATTCATAAGAACTCCGACGAAAAAAACAAGCACGTGGCCGTCAAAACGCTCCGACGATTCGGCCCCCTCACCCCCCAAAAAACAAACCCTAAAATCGCAATCCACACAACCAAACAGTCCCTTATCTCCGACGCGCTCCTCACGAACGAGCTCCTGGTAATGCGGCGAATCGTGGAGGACGTTTCGCCCCACCCGAACGTGATCCACCTCCACGACGTGTGCGAGGATGGGAGTGGGGTCCACCTGATACTCGAGCTCTGCTCCGGCGGCGAGCTTTTCGACCGGATTGTGGCCAAGCCGAGGTACAGCGAGGCGGAGGCGGCGGCGGTGGTGAGGCAGATTGCGAACGGGCTGACGGCGCTGCACAGGGCGGGTATTGTGCATAGGGATTTGAAGCCGGAGAATTGTTTGTTTCTGAGCAAGGAGGAGGAATCGCCGTTGAAGATTATGGATTTTGGGCTGAGTTCGGTGGAGGAATTTACAGATCCGGTGGTGAAATTGTTTGGGTCGGTTGATTATGTGTCGCCGGAGGCGCTCTCCGGCGAGAGGGTTACGGCGAAGAGTGATGTGTGGTCACTTGGAGTCATTCTTTACATTCTTCTCTCAGGGTGAGTTGATCTTACTAATAATTAATAAAATAATATTAAATGGAAACCCGACGAATTAGCAATTTCGGAAAAGTTCCGATTTTTTTTTTTTTTTTTTGGAAGTGAAAAGCTAATTTCAATTCCGTTCGAAAAAAAAAAATGGAATTTCGGAAATTCGAATGATAAACTCGTTCCAAAATTAGAAATTTTCGTATCGGAGTGTCGGTGAAATTTGGAAGATTTCATTTTTTAGTAAAAGTATAAATAAAATACATAACAATTTTAATATTATAATAGTATTTTTGGAACCAAACGGAATTTTCAGAATTATTTTCGAAAATTAAAATCGAATCGGAAATTTGAATCTCATATATATTCCAATTCTCATCCATAAAAAATGGGAAAATAGGAACCGGAATATTCGGAATTCGTAATAAAAAAAACATTTGTTCCAATATTGGAAAATTTGGACCGGTATATGAGGAAGTCGACTTTTTTTTCATGATTGCGGGTTGGGCCTGAAAAATATTGGACTAACCAAACATCCAATAACGTCCAACTGTTTGATTAGTCATGTCTAATCTTAACGACCAAACAATGCCTAATAGTATAAGCAATGGTGCGGGTTTCGGGTCTCGGTTTTGGTTTTGATTTCGGTTTTGATTTCGGTTTATGGTGACATAGATAGAATTATTAGAATTTTTTTTCTTCATTTTTCTGTTCTTACCAGGTATCCTCCTTTCATTGCACAATCAAACCTGCAGAAGCAAAAAATGATATTAAATGTAAGTTCATTGATTAGTAAAATAAATTTAAAATAAAATTAGAGTTTTTATTTATTTAATTAATTAACTATTTATTTAAATCCAAATCCAATTTGAATGTTGGTGCAGGGAGAGTTCAGCTTCTATGAGAAAACATGGAAGAACATTTCATCATCAGTGAAACAACTCATCACCAGTCTTCTCAAAGTCGATCCCGATTTGAGACCAAGTGCCGAAGAGGTATAATTAGTTTGATTATTAGTCGTTACGAGCTTTAATTAAGTTGGAACATATTTTCGACCTAAAAAAAATGATATTGCTTGATATCTTATGGGAAACAAAAATATGCGACCAATTTTTGTTCATTATGCTATCGAATTGAGCTTTTAATGATCGCTTTCAAATCGGGTATCCAGTAACTTGGTTTGACATTCGGGCCATCTAATTTTACCTAATATTTTGATCGTACAATTCGTTTAAAATCGAGAAGTGCTACTCGTGATACTATGATTCAAATTTATGAAACATGATAGATTCTTGGGCATCCGTGGGTGACGGGAGATTTGGCGAAGCAAGAACAAATGGATGCCGAAATTGTTACGCGGTTACAAAGCTTCAATGCGAGACGTAAGTTTCGAGCGGCTGCAATGGCGAGTGTGCTAAGTAGTAGCTTCTCATTGAGAACAAAGAAGCTCAAGAATTTGATGGGGTCTTATGATCTCAAGCCGGAGGAGCTCGAGAATCTCAGTGTAAATTTCAAGAAAGTGTGAGTGTAACTTAACATATATATCTTGACAACATTAGTTCATCATCATAAATTATGATGATGTTTTAATTATTTATTTGTTTGAACTTAAAAAAAAAACGCAGATGTAAGAACGAAAGCGCGACTTTGTCGGAATTTGAGGAGGTTTTGCGAGCGATGGAGATGTTGTCGTTGGTCCCACTTGCGCCGCGCATATTTGATTTGTTTGATAATAATAGGGATGGGACTGTTGATATGAGAGAGATTATTGGGGGGTTTTCTTGTCTTAAATATTCGCAAGGCGACGATGCGTTACGCCTTTGTTTTCAGGTTCTCTCTCTCTCTCTCTCTCTCTCTCTCTCCGATCTGACAATTTCTAATTTTGGAACAACTTTTTTCGTTCAAATTTCGAGAATTTTGATTTTCGATTGAAGAAATGAAGCGGGGATGAAAATTTGATGACATATTTTTGTTATAAATGTTATTATCAGATGTACGATACAAATTTGATGACATATTTTTGTTATAAATGTTATTATCAGATGTACGATACGGATCGTTCCGGTTGCATTAGCAAGGAAGAACTAGCATCCCTTCTAAGGGTAAGAAACATTTGTTTATCACTAAAGCTAGGGGCGGAAATTGGAACTGAATTTTTCATTAGGCCGATTTCGATCAGAATATTTTCGATTTTAGAACAATATTTTTAATTTTGGCTTTTACGGAACTTAATTGGAATACACATATTAGATTCCAATTTTAATTTCGGAAAATATTTTTGAAAATTCTGATTTTATTTTTTCACGAAAATTGCACTCATAAAATGAATATTATTATGTATTTTATATCACAGGTGACTTAAAAAATGGAAACTGTAAACACCGCCGATTCCAATCCAATAATTTCTGACACTGAAACAAGAATCTTCTTCCACTTTCCGAAATTCCGATTTCTATTTTTTCCAGTTTTCTTTGGATTTTTTACCCTCAAAATGCTGATTCCAATATGATTCGTTTTGCTTACCTTTTCCCGAGACATTTGAGAAAGCTGGATTTCATTTTTGTACAATTAATATTTGATCATCTTTATTTCACGTGTGTACGATGATGAAGGCCTTGCCCGATGATTACCTTCCGATGGACATTACCGAACCGGGGAAACTAGACGAGATATTCGATACGATGGACGCAAACAACGACGGTAAAGTTACCTTTGAGGAGTTTAAGGTTGCAATGAAACGCGACAGCTCTCTTCAAGATGTCGTCCTATCATCTCTTCGCCCTAATTAATTAGTGTCCTCAATCGATTTCGTTCTGTATACGAATTTGCTATTTTCGTATGTTATTTCATTTGATAGCATAGTTGAGGCTCATGATTTATTATTCGTCTGCAACATAATCAAATATAGATTACAAATAACTTGTAATACATACATATAATATATTCAATGCAACTCTATCTAATGCAATCACATCCTTCTTATCGAACGAGCCCTGAATCTTAAACTAAAGATCGAAACAAATGGAGATGAGACGAAGAGAAAAACGTTGCAATTGGAATTTGAAGCTTTCGTCAAATTTAAGAATGGCCTCAACTAATATCTACAGAACAAACGAGCCGAACAAGTGAAATAAGCTAACCTAACTTCTACAATGAATCGATCACATACACTAATCATTATTTCGTATTATTTTTTCACAACTCGAATTTACATCTATGTCTTAAAATTTTCGGTTTAACTGAATAAATGAATCTACAGCTTACCGTTAGAGAGAAGAACTGTGGTAAGTAGTACACAAGATGAATGAACGCCTGCTACGTGTACAAAAATTACGGTCTAACTCGGACAATTTCTCGTCTGAGATCTTCTTGCTCGCTGAAAAAAAAAAAAAATTACAGCCGCTGAACAGACCAGAAAATATGATGGAAAATTTCCCTTTCTAAATGTAGATAGATTCACCAGGCAACAGAAATCTCAAGGTAAGAGAAGTTGATATTTATTTATTGGGCAAATTACGGCTACCCCCTTCAGATAAGGTCAAATTACGAAAAAACCCTTTATGTTCGGGTAATTACAACCACACCCCTCAACTATGCATTCTTTTACGAAAACTCCCGTCAGTTAGTAGGTAAATTTGACACCGTAAAGGTGGACGTGTAAGACAATACATATTTGAGGGGTGGTTGTAATTACCCAAACAGGAGGGGGATTTTCGTAATTTGGCCTTATCTTAGCGGGTTGGCCATAATTTGCCCTATATTTATTTCTCTACTATTAAGAATAATCGAAACAGAGCTTACATGTCATAGTTGCTCCCTGATATAAGCCATCGATCTTAACATCGAACCTAAAGTTTCTTTCGAGACTTGAAATTTCACCTCCGTTTCTCCAGTTGTTGATGCATCATGGAGCTGACAAACAAAAAATCACTACTTATCGTCACCTTAATTAAGCTCGATAACTCCCAATTAATACTATTGAAAGATAGATTTTTTTTTGTGCTCCTAAAGACAAAAGAGATGATGATGATGTCACCTTTAGATTGATAACTGCAACTTTGTTAGCCGGAGTTGAAAGCTGTTGACTTATGTAAGCCATGGATTTCAACATCGGCTCCAAAGTGGCTCTCGTTAGTCTAAACTGCACCTCCGTTTCTCCTGAAGTAGCTCTCCCATAATCTTGGAGCTGCCTTACGCAAACAAAACTGTAGAATATAAGTAAAAATTTCATACAACACGCAAACACATATATATACGTCATAAAGCTGTACACACCTTCAAATTAATTAGAGCTACTTTACTTGTCGGGTTTTTATTCTCTAGGATCCACGTCATCGACTTAAAACAAGTGAGAACAACCTACAAAGGTCAAGAATTGTAATTATACATCACTGACCACTAAAAACAACTTAAAGCAGCAAACAATTGACAAATATCGCGGCAACTAACCGAAAATCAAGAATCTATGTATATTTTATTTCGTACCGTATTATCAGCAAGTGTGCCATCACGGTTTATAGCTATCGGCGCCATAGTTGGCTGACTCAAATCAGCAATGTGGGCCCCACTGTCGTTCAGATTAAATCGACTAGGCACAGAATCTTGCCACGGCCATAAAGACGGTATCTTATCAGGAGTTGGTGTAGAGGGTTTTTTGCTACCATTATCCTGTTTATTTTTTCCGACACTTCTTTTCACTTGTGCAATCTTCTTCTCACCGTCTTTTAAAGCCTCCATAGCTGCACTGTAAGTATCCGTACAAACAGCTCCCTCCTCGGCGAACTTAAGTGCTTCTCGACAAAGACTGTTGAAACGAACAGAGAGAGACTCCATACACTGAACCCCCGTGTATTGCTCGTCCACCAGGCTGGCGGATCTAGCATTCTTCGTCCACCTCTTTAGTATATAATGTGAGGGAACCGTTAGAACATTTGTTACAGTAAAAACAGTCAATATGTGTCTGCACAAAACTCCCGAATACTCAAACATTTGACAGCTGCAACTCGCGTTCATTTCGGAAACGTCTAACATTACTATGTACGCTTTGTGATCTTGCTCGTATTTCGCAACCCTAAATTTACTGACCGAACCATCACCGTCGATCTTATTGGCTGTGTGCACAAAAGTCTCGACGAGTTCTTCTTGAAACTTCTCGAACACCTTTTTCGTGTATAGATTAGCCGCCTGTTGTTCCATTGGAGACGGTGTTTTTAGTACCGGCGATGTACAGTTTGTGTAGTAATCTGCTTCGATTTCCCTTTCTAAAGAATTCTCCAAAGCACGTTCGTACTGTTTGAAGAACATGGGTATTGTTGTCTGCTGATTCACGTACCCTTCGAAGAAGGAACTCACTCCGTGGTTCGAAGAGAGCGCAGCGAAAAACGTGTCACGAAAATAAACGGGCGCCCATTGCTTCCTAGCGTTATACACAGCGTGAAGCCACTCGTTTTTTCCGATATCATATCTATCAAGAATCAAGCTCCACGCCGATTCGAAATCCTCGATTGTCTCAGAAAAGTTGATGCAGCTGTAAAGCTCTCCATGAAAGGAAGGATGAGAGAGATACACATGTGCCAATCTTTCTTGGCCTTCTCGTAATATATGCCACTTGCAAATGCAGTGACGGGTTTGCGGAAAAACCCGATTAACCGCCGCTTTAATGGCTCTATCTTGGTCGGTGGTTATCGACACTGGGCGACGATTGTTCATTGCAGAGAGCCAAGTCTCGAAAACCCAAGCGAAAGAAGATTCTGATTCGTCCAATAGCAGCGCACATCCGAACAAGACCATTTGCCCGTGATTGTTCACTCCTGTGAAGGGCGCAAACGGTACCTGAAACTGGTTAGGCCTGTACATAGTATCGAAAACAACTGCGTCACCAAAGTGGTTGTAAGCTGTTCTCGATCTCGCATCAGCCCAGAAAACATTGCTCAACCGATTCTCTTCGTCCAGCTGTATTGCGTAATAGAAACCAGGGTTTTCGGACTGCATTTTCTTGAAATAGGTGAGGAGATTATGCGCGTCTCTACCGAGAGTTCTTCTTCTGCTACAAGGCTGAATAAAATGCAACGGCATTGAAGGAGCATTTTCATTTGGATCAACAAAAACATGGTTTCCATCGACAGAAACCATGATGTCGTTTTGGTTATTATCGGCTACCTCAGTTAGCGCGGGGGCTTTCTTTGCAGCAGCTCCGGCAAAGTGGCGGCGGGGCCTGAGGAAATGGACCTTGCTGGGGCCCACGAGAGAGTGATTGTGATCCTCGACGAATTTGGTGACAACCCAATTTTCGGAATCTTTACTCTCGATTCGAAGCATTGCATTGCAGCTCTCGATATTTTTCCGTTTGTAAACCTCTCTTGAACAGAAGAATTCCAACGAGACAATTGGACCATCTGGATTGCTACGAATGTATTGGCCCACGTGCGTGGTGAAACCGACTCTTCTTGCGTATGTATCGTACAAGTCCTTTGCGGATTCTTGAGAATCGAATTCCATACCTATATATGGTTTGTTCTTATTCTCGTCTTCGGCTTGATTGGTTGAATTTCCACTTAAATTTTCGGCTACATCCTCGTTGTTTTCGGTTTGTGATTTCCCGTTTCTCTGCCTTTTTTCCATATCTACCTCAACCACTTTATCATCCATTTCATCAAATAAATAACACTAAGAGTGGTGATGTAATTAGTCGGGAATCTGCAGTTGCCACAGAGGAGACATAAAAGTTAAAAGAAACGGCAAAAAGTGGGATAATATATATACATGGTAAAGCAACTCGAATATATATATACACGGCACATAGAGATTTCGTGTCTACAAGACCTCGTCAAAAGCACTCTATACATGTTAAACAAAGCTTCAGGTACAGTCGCTGAACATAACGTACAATATCTTACTTTTCGGTTCACCGTTTCAATCAAAGAAAGTAGACGTAATCATGTACGGATCGATTCCAAACATACATGCTCGCAACAAAGTTTCGACATCGAAAATGCACAAATTTTAGTCTGGTGTAGGATAAGACCGAGAGAAAATCCCAGTACCCCAAAACGGGTCGATTATCGTCTTTCGAAACAAACGATTTCATAACAACAACAACAACAACAACAACAATGTACATTACAAATATAAGTTAGGATACATCAGATTCTGTAAGCATTTATGAACTTTAACTGGAAAAAAAATAAAATAAAGAAACCTTCTGACAAAATCATGAATTAGGCAATTAATAAACATATCTACATGTATATATAGTTCTTCAACTGCCCATACAACATAATCAATGAATCAGCAGAACCACTTTAATTATCTAACCTACAGAGATCAAATATAATACAACAACTCATGGCGGATCAATGAACCCTAAAAAACACGCTGATTCACTCTTTTTTCCCCTCTTTCTTATCCGTTATAGCAAGTGGGAAATGCAAAATTTGAACAAATAGGTTAAAGATGAGAATTTTCAAACTTGTAGGATGAATATATAAAGAATACTGACCTGGGTTCTTCGACTCTGAGAATGGCGCCCGATAATAACTCATCGCCGAGTCGATTTTCGCTCTCTTTCTCTCTCGCACAGTTGAGCGTGTGTTGCGTGTCGATTTCGGAATTTGGGCGAAGTTCAATTCAATTTTCTGTAGACTGATTCTATGGAGGAGTTGGGTGTTTGGACACACAAACACACTCTTCCCCATTTTACTCTTATTTCTTGTTCTTGCTTTTTCATTTTTCATTTTTTTTTCCTTTTTTTAATTTTATTTTAATGCAGAAACAATAAAATAATATGAATCGGGCGGGCCGGGCCTAAACGAAGCACGATGTTCGGCCGGATTTTTATTTTAGTTGAATCTAGTTAATTGTGAAACTTGCCGAGTTTGAGTTATTTGATTAAGCTTGACAAATTTATGAGCCGAATTTGACCACATTATGGCTCAACCTGAATTAAGTTCGATTAGATAAGTAATTCAAATATTAATTTAATTTAAATAATATAAAAAATAATAATAGTAGTAAAAATAATATAATAAATGAATCAAAAAAAAATCAAATTTCATTATTTGTTTTGTAATTTTGTTTATAATACAAATATAAATAATTTGCAATGACAAAAGAATTACTAACGTTGATATAATTACAAAATAATAAGTTTGGACTCGAGGTCGAGCTTGAGCTCGACAAACCCGACTCATGCTAAAAAGAACTCGAGATCATTCTCATCAAAACCGACTCCAGCTCGAGCTTGAGGGCGCTTAAACATATGATTCCTTTTTTTTTTATATATATAATTCCTCAAAACCGAGCTCGAGCTGAGTCTACTGTTTAAATATGAAAACATCTTTCATCAAAAAAAAAATACAATTTAGTCCACATTAGGTTTTTAATGAACCAAGAAAAATAGCCTATGGTATAACCCAACGAAGTCCACTTGTAAACAAGAATTTTCTAGAATCGATTTTTTTAGGAACTTTCTAGAAGTCTCTGCATTATATTTATCTTTTAAAGTATACCTACAATTTTCAAGCAGCGCGATAGAGAACAGTTCATAAACGTATAATTATAACAATACACATCATTTATTTGCACAGTAGTAGTATAAATTGGAGAATGGTTTTATTTGTAAACTAATTAACAAAATTTGCTAACACTTGGAATAATTAATAACAAAGCTCATACATTTTAAATTATTCGTGCGATAGGGGAGTTAGGGCCGAACAATATCTATGTAATATTTAAACCGAAACTCCTTAAATGCCTATATTTTTTGCAAGTGACATCACCTTCATATGACACTTCGTCTTACATCCGCGTAAATCAATATTTTTTGTTATTATTTAAAATTTACATAAATTTCCTAAAAATGTTAATAATTTATGGTCCAAACTTTCGGTTTTGATTATCCTCCTTTCCTTTTGGTGCCCAAATTGAAGATTGAGAATGCAATTGGTAGTGATTTATTCAGTCAAGATTTGGGGGAAGAGATTTTTTTTATGTAATGGTACCGTCTCAATAATTATCATCTTTATCAACATCTGCGAAGAGACTGATTGACACGATCATCGCTTACTTCTTTCAACTTTTAAGGCTTCCAATACAATACAAAAATTATATTATTGATATGGAATAATTACTTGCATATTTGGAAAACCTTACAACTTTGAAGGCTTCCAATACAAAAAAATATATTATTGATATGGAATAATTCCTTGCATATTTGGAAAAATAAATCTAGTAATGAAAATTCAAAATTTGAGTTAAAAATTGCACAGGATGCACGTCATATATAGAAAATAACTATAACGTCATTTTTTGTGATGTAATTATCCACAAAATTTGTTGTATATGAAAATTAAATAAACAAATTAAATTGTTGTATATGACAAATAAATGAGGAATATTCTATTTGTATATTACATTTAAAAAGAGAACAAAAAAAAAACTAGAAAATGTTGTAAATTTGCTAAAAATAAATAAACTTAAAAACTAATTTAAAATTAAACCATTTTGGCCTATATATCTCTATAGTAATTCCTAGGATAAATCTTTTTACACACTTTAAATATATGCACATGTACGTGAGTTATATATAATATATTCATGCATTTTATGATAAGAATCATAAACCAAACGTACACAATTGTTAGACAAAAGAAATGATTTTCTTTTAATCTTTAATAGCATTTTTTCCCCGTGCGATGCACGGGATATTATTTCAAAAGTCAAAAAAATAATCAATTTAATACATAATAAGAAAATATTGTACACTAACTTAGTAAAATTTAATAATGTAGTATTATTCTTATTTTATATAACATTGGTTTTTTTAAATCTTGCATATTAAGATTTATAATCCAAATATATAGATTAAGATTTAAAAAATCGTATTTCTACCTTTATTGCTTAAGATTGAGATATATTGATGAAAAATCGGAGATTGATAACTGTTAAAATTATAGTTAGAAATTAGTAGAGAAAAAATATTAAAAATAAATAATTACAGAAATAACATTAGGAATTTTTAGGTTACCCAATGTTTCTTCTTTTATATATAAGATTATTTTCTTATAAATTATAATTATAGTTATAATTTGATTCTACATGATCTGTTGCAGTTTTATTAAAAATACTTTTTCGACGCCTTCGAAGTTGGAAGAAGTCAGTGAGAAATTCGTAAACCAGTTCTTCACAAAATTCGACAAAAATAACGATTCGGGTGATTTGGAACTTCCGGACAGAAAAATCTTTAAACTTAAAAATTCGAAACTATGAATATAAAGTGTTTTTTTTTTCTTTTATTTCTTGTCGAAAATTAAATTTTCTTTTCCTGTTTCCTGATTTTGTCCTACTATATATATAAAAGAAATATCTAAATTTTTTTTGGCCGAACCTCCGATAACTCACCCTGTAATAAATTCATGGACTCGTCTGTTGTTACTCGATCTTATTGTATTATATTGTTAGGATATATACTTCATTGTACTTAATCTTTAAAGTTATATTTGAAGTTTATCAATTATTATTATTATTATTATTATTATTATTATTATTATTATTATTATTATTATTATTATTATTATTATTATTATTATTATTATTATTATTATTATTATTATTATTATTATTATTATTATTATTTTTGATAATGTTGTTATTATTATTATTTTTTTTGATAATGTTGGGGCAGATTTATTTTATTTTAATGCTTCTAATTCACTAATTGCATCAATTCCCTTAATAATATAATTTGTTAGTGTATGTTTTCACCCATAAACTAGATTTTGACTATGTACATTGAACAATAAAAAGAGTAATTTTTGTAATATTACAAGTATAAATTTCTATAATTAATATTAGATTTTAGTTTAACTTTAATTTTAAGATTAGTTAACTTTGGGTATGGTTGGGTTGAGACGAGTCTGGATTTTAGATATTTTTTTAAGTCGAGTCTCAACTTTAGCAAAAAATCAATCCATAACTGACATGTTGTCATCTCTAATTATAACAGATGTAAATAATTGTTTAGTATTTTTGATATTATTTCATTCATTAATTATATAATTTTAAGATCATTGCTTTCAAAATAACATGAGAACAATATTCCCCAAAAAAAAAAAAAAAAAAATTCCGGGGATCTGCCCCCGGACCCACTTATTATTTAAGGCACTGGCCTCAAAATACACTGGATCGGCCCTACTGCCAAGGCAGGCACCAAAGATCGCCCTGTGATTGCTGCAAACACGGGCCGGTGGACTTAACTTGCCAGATACAATTGAGCCCGCATCGGTTGACCATGATATCGTCTGTCCAAACCGTGTACTCGCCCGAACCGTACTGCGTGTCGATTTTGCAAGAGAATTTCGTGTCTCCAAGTATACTGTAATGAAAATGCCATGAGAATGGCTGCAGGTACGCGAGCTGATGCGTGCCCAAATCATCGTCTTTTGAATAACAATGAACGGTGATCGGATCCGCGGGTATTACGCTAGCCACCGTTACGTGTACTTCGGGGGCTGCATCACATGTTGTGAGATAAATTAGTGATATAATTATTACGATTTTCGACAACAAATTCATTGTTTATTTTCTTTGTACCCCACAATTTTTTTAGGGTTTGTATATGATATATATTCAGTTTATAAGGGGCTATATATATATATATATTGCATGTGTGTGTGTGTGTGTTTTCTTTTTCTTTTTTTCTTGGGAAATAATTAGTAAGGAGATATTAACTTTTAAGTGATTCAGGTAATAATTTATAATCTTACTTTGTTATTACCTATTGTGAGAAAGTGATTTTGAGTTATTGAAGTAATCTGTAATCGGATTACGAGCTCGAGGGGGAAATAGTAATACTCGAATTATTTGTCGAATACGTTTTTTTTTTTAATTCAGTTGCAATGTGAAAATTTTAAAGTTGATTTTGATTTTTTTTCCCTTCAAAATCTACATTTAGGAGATTAAAGTGATTCAGGTAATCTGATATCTAATTAAATTTTGTCATCACAGATTATGATTATGTGATTTTATGTTATTTAAATAATTTGTAATCGAATTATGAAAAGGAAAAATAAATCATTGCTATCTGTAATTAGATTATTACGATGTAATATATATATATCGAACATTTTAAGTTTGGGGTTCAAATTCCTTTGAATGTGTGTGTTTTAAGACCCTATTATAAAACTCGAAAAAAGAGAAAAAAAAACGAAGTAAACTTGCACCGAACACACATCTGATCTTTTTACCGCGTAAAACCATTTTTCGTTAATGATTAATGTCGTTTATTATCGGAGATGATTTCTTATTGCAATAATTTTTAAACATAGCGTGATTTGGTGTATGTTTCCTATATATAAAAGGCTTTTACGAAAAAATAATTTATTTATTTAATACTATGAATTATCTTGAAAATTAAGTCGAACACATTTATTCAGTTACAAAATGTGAAAAAAAAAAAAAAAAAAAAAGATCAATACTGCGTCGATGAAATTGAAGTCGAACTTAATTTCCAAGTTTCGGCAATTCTCAATCCAAAATTTTCATTTTTCAGAACAATTTTTTCCTCATTCCGATCTCCAAAATTCGACTCCGAATTTTTCCATTAATCTTTTTTTCTTTTTGGCATTGGAATTAGAAGGTAAACCTTGAATTTTCATAAATTCCAATTTATTTTATAATTAGTAATTAATAATCAATTCCATCATCAACATTGAAGAAACACAACCGTGTCGAAATATTAATTTCGAAGTTCAGGCAATTTTCAATTCAAAATTTTCATTTCCCGAACAATATTTTTTCTCATTCCAATTTCCAAAATTCAACTCTGAATATTTCCATTAATCTTTTTCTTTTTCGCATTGGAATTAGAAGGTAAAATCTTGAATTTTCATAAATTCCAATTCATTTCATAACTAATACTCCATCTGTCCCATATTATATGTCTTTTTAGAGAGTTTTTTTTGTCCCAAATTATTTGTCATTTTAGATTTTCAATGCATCATTAATTGCATTATTTTCAATTTTACCCTTTATCACTCCTAATTAGTTAGTTGTAAAATACTCCCTCCTTCCCATTTTATTTGTCTTTCTAGAGATATTTTTTTATTTCAAACTAATTGTCACTTTACAATTTCAATGGCATATTTATTGTATTTTCTCAAATTTGCCCTTACTACTGTTAAAAGAATTAATGATGGAGCAATAAATAAGAGTGGTTTTTTAGTCATTTTATTATGATTTTTGTAGAATCTATGCACATTTATTGATTTTCTTAATACGTGTGCATGAGCTCAAAACGACAAATAAAATGGGAAGGAGGGAGTAGTTAATATCAAGGATATATTAGTATTTAACTATGTTTTTCACTATAATCTATACACATTTATTGATTTTCTTAATATGTGTGCAACAGCCCAAAACGTCATTTAAATTGGGACGGAGGGAGTAATTAATAACCAATTCCATCATCAACATTGAAGAAACACAACCATGTGAAACTAATTTCGAGTTTCGGCAATTTTCATTTCCCAAACAATTTTTTTCTCATTCCGATTCCCAAAATTCGACTCGGAATTTTTCCATTAATCTTTTTTTTTTTTGGCATTGGAATTAGAAGGTAAAACCTTGAATTTTTCAGAAACTCCAATTCATTTCATAACTAGTAATAAAATCAAATCCCATCATCAAAATTAAAGAAACACAACCATGCATGTGTAATAAGTAATAATAATAATAATAATTATAAAAAAAGCTAAATAAATTAATTAGTATTTTGCCAAGGCTGGCACACAAGAGTGTCTTTCCACTGCACACAGGGCCCACTGAGATGAACTTTCCATTGACAATTGTTGCCACATCTGTTATTCATTAAATAAATATTCCACACTTCATAATCACCAGATCCATACTGTGTGGTGATGCTGCAGAGGAACTTTTTCTCCGTGAGGGCGTCACTGTCGAACGAAAACCAATAAAACCCGAAAAGCGTTAGCGATGTGGTCCCCTCGTCGCCGTTTGACGAATAGCAATGGACCGTAATCGGATCTCCGGTTAGTTCATTAGTCACCGTCACATTCGTTAGAGAGTACGCATTCGCCGTCGTGAAAACCAGTGATAGAATTACGATCTTCGACAACCAATTCATCGTGTGTGTGTGTGTGTGTGTGTGTGTGTGTGTTTCAATATTAATTTTACAAACTTTGTTAAGTTTGTGGGTATGTTGTGTGTGATATGCAGTTTAAAACGATGTATAAATAGATGTTTGTGTCAATGGCGGAGTCAGGATTTTGTGGGCCCGACTAATTAAATAAGGGTTTATCGATAATATATATATTGAATTAATTTGGATACTGCATGCTGACTGATTCGTTATTTAGTTAATAGGATTTTCTGTTTTTTAAATTAGATCTTGTATTAAATATTCTGATATTATATGTAATTTTCCTATGAAAACTTTTATTTGACAAAATTAGTGTATAGCTTTAATAATAAAATGGTATTTTCCTTGATTAGTTAGTCACCTCAAAATTAATTTTGGAGAAGATGAATAGAGTTAATATGCTAGAGGTCCCTAGTTGGAAACATAATTAGATAGGGGATATAATCTTAATATTGTTTTTCTTAATTAAATTATTTTTACAAAAATAAATATGACCCACATTCTTTATATTTTTTTAATTCCAAATTTTGTCTCAACCTAAATCCATAAATTTTACACATTTCTCCCAGATCTATTTTTCTTCCCTCTTCTCTTTCTTGTTCTCCCTCTCTCTCTCTCTTGTTCTCCCTCTCTCTTTCTCTCGCTCTTCATCTCCATCACTTCTCACGCGATGGCTATGCACAAACTATGGCAGAGGCGGCGTTAGTAAGGGAATGGTTATGGTCCTTATGGATGCAGGAGGCGACGACGACTATGGTGGTGGATGTCAAATCTACGGCGGATGGTGACGGCTATGGCGGCTAGGTTTTAATTTGGTCGACGGTTATGGCGGCTAAGGTTTAATTTGGTCGATGGCTGAGGTTTAATTTGGTCAGAGCTACGGTGGTTGGCGGCTAGGGTTTAATTTGGTCGATGGATAGGGTTTAACTAGGTCGGCGGCTAGGGTTTAATTTGGTTGATGGCTAGGGTTGAATTTGGCGGCGGCTAGGGTTGGTCGACGACTAGGTTTTTGCAGGTAAGGTTTGGCGGCGGCTGTAATTTGTTGGTTGCTATGATTTAACGGTGGCTGGAAGATGTTGAAAATTAGGGTTTGGCGGCGACTAGGAGTTGGTGAATCATAGAGTTCGGAATAGTACACCACAATATACTGTAGTATACCATAGCGTATTATAGCATACCATAGTATTTTTTAAAATCTGCTGTATTATTTGACAAAAATGAAACTACGGAGTACGACCGGAATTTAAAAAAAAAAAAACAAAAATGCTAGATGCAAATTAAAAATGTTAAATAATGCCATAGTGCACCATAGTACATCGTTGAATATTTATAATATGATGTAATTTCGAATTTGTGAGTGGAGGGGTATTTTTGGAATGAATTTTGATAAAGGATGTGAAGCAAATTTCAATTAATCTTGTCATTTACTTCTAATAAGGTTTGTCACCAATGACTTATATTATTAATTTAATGAAATAATAACATTTAATTGTGAATTTTAACATTAAAGTTTGAATAAGTACGTAGCTTATTAACCGAATATTTTATTAGCCCGACTATTTAGTGAATAGGACCCGATATATGTAAATCTCTCTCAATTTTGGTCAAAAAAAAAGAGATTATTAGCAATTATTAGAATGTGATATTGCTTCATTATTCAAGTAATCTATTATTAGGTTGTTGCGGCAATCTGTAATTAAAATCTTGATCAATTAAGGTGTAAAGATATTTCAAAACATAAATATTAACTTTTATCATACGCCTAAATTTGTCATTCAGAAAGTTATTAGTGTGCGGTCTTTTTTTTTTTTTTTTTTTTTGAGATAATATAAAAAACATAATAGTATTGATTTTATAGTTGTGATTTTCGGATTTTAAAACAAAAAAAAAAGAAAATAATCGGAATGTTCGGAAATTAAAATTAGGCCGGCAATGGATATCTACTATGCATTCCAATTCCGATCCAAAAAAGTAATTAAAAAACCGGGAATCAAAACTTTGGAATTCGGAATGAAAAATATTGTTCTATAATGGATATATTCGGATCGAAATAGACAAAATCCGCAAAATTCCGTTCCAATTTCCACTCATATGATGCGAAGCAGCAAATTAGACTCATGTACATATAAATATATAATTATTTGAATTTCACATTCCAGAATAAAATTCTCCAAAAAAAATAAAAAATACATTTTCAAAACCGAAAATTCTATCTAGTTTACGCAACTAAAAAGGTTAATTATTCAGCTTCAAGTGCAGCAATCTCGTACCTGATTTCTTCGAGGTATTCATTAATGGCAACGACAGCATCTTGTACCCCTTTAATGGCTTCTTTGAGAGCACTATCATATTGTGCATCGGCTTCCGCCTCTTCTGTTCCGGAAGCTTCCGTAATTTGCTGGATGTGCATGCACTCGTGCCCCGTTGATTGTCTTATTGTGCAATTCTCGTGGCTAACCAAACGTTCAGAAGGGCGACCCGATTTCTTCAGCACTTGAATTGTGGCTGTCTGAAAACAAAATGCAGCACCGAATAATCATTAGTTCTTTTTTTTTTTTTTTTAATATATATATAATGAATAAACATGATTAGTAACACGGAACTTCTAAATCGGAGATCATCTTTAAATATTACTACGCATTCGCTGAAAGATGTCTTTTTTTTCCCAATATAATTCTAATATCCTATTAAACTATACGCACGCGATCATTTAAAAAAATATATATATCTTGATTATCACTAACATGTTCTTCGATTACGAAGAAATGCCTCTACCCATTTAAAAAAAAAAGCTTCATTACCTTTTTGCATGCCTGAAAACAAACGATTCAACATATGAGTTTATTGCAATTATTACCCCTGTGTTATGTCGTATTGCTATAAAACTACCCCATATTTTTTTTTTGGCAAAAGTGCCCCTATGAATCTTTTTTTAGCAATTAGTACCCCCATTCAGGGGGGTGTGCGCTAAAAACAAAATTGAATCATGGGGGTGGTTTTTTAGAAATTCGATACAGCACAGGGGTACTAATTGCAATAAACCCGTCAACAAAATATTGATATGACAAAGCAAAATAATGAACTTAATAACCCTCCTTTCATGCCATTAACAAATTGAACCTTCCTACAGAAAAAGCTCGACGAAAATCTTCAGTCAAGACTTGCAAGTCTTGCGAAATCGAAAATCATCAAGTACGAATGTGAATGCAATTTACCATTTTGCCCCACAATTAATCAAACTTTTCCAAGAAGGCGAGATAAAAGAATAAAAAGCCAAGAGCAAAACAAGAAGACGTACTAAATGCAATTTCTCCTTTTCTTGTGCTTGAACCGATTTGAGTAAGTTAGCTAGATCCTCCCTGCAACAATCGGGGCTGACGAATAAAGATTCCATTTCGAGGACCTACATCGGTTGAAACCAATATAGATACACAATGAGATACAACACCAGTTCAAAAAAAAAAAAATACTCAAAGAACAAATGTAACCATTATAACTTTCGAGAATGTTGATAGTAATAAATATCTACCAACACTAACCTGTTTCGAACAATCGTTAAATTCGAGAGTTATCTCACTGCAAAGCTTTTTTTTTTTTTAAGCCACCCCCCAAAACCATATTATCTTCAAACCCCCTGTCGTGAATAAGAACACAAATGCGAGGCCAAGATCAAACGGGTGTACGAATACGTAGACGCGTAGATTTGTCTATATAATTTTGTTTCGGAAAATAAAAATAAGCATTTCACAGACACACACACACACACAGAGGGAGTGAGGGAGGAAGGGGG